CAGAGTTTCTGTTGAGGCAGCGAATCAGGACAGCCAGTGATTATTTTTGCAGTTGCATAATCTGGCAGTTGAGCCTGAGAATAAAACGTGGAAAGTGCCATCGTGTTATAATCACACATGGTGCTAAATCCCAAAAGTAACATTGTTACTACCGCTGCTGTTTTCAGCCAACACTCACATAGCTTTTATTTTCTTAAGAGCTTTTGTTTTAGCTTTTGGAAGACAATATTGTAGTGTAGCAGGTTTTAACAGCTCTAAAGGTAAAGGAATCTAAAGTGAAACTAAAACTTGAAAATCATCACAGTGCCTCTGGGAATTAACAGGAAATGACTGCTTGTCTGAAAATTGCTCAGTTTGTCTCGTCTCCGTTCACGCCTCCTGAAGTCCTGCACTTGTTGCTGTCTGAAACCTGTTTGTCGAGCTACTGCTTGGCCTCTGAGTCCAACTAGTTCATCAGGTAAAGAGAATAATCACATGTTTGGAGGCTTAAATAAGCTGAAATAAGTGTTCTCGACTGCTGCCCCGGTCGTGTTTGCGTCGTCAGCTTTGAGCTGAGCTTTCTCATGAAACAGAGGACAACAGTGTGAGAAAAACAATCTATACAGTAACAATCAAAGCTCAGTCCAAAATCCATTTGAACAGGTGGTATCTTATCAACACAGTTGAATTACATGCCCACAGACACAGGTATTGAAATGTCAGTGGCATCCTGTTAATATGTTAAATATTTACCCATCTGCGCGCTTCCTGCAGCGTTAAATACTCACCAACACAATGTTGTTACAGTGTGAGCGTCGGAGATCAGCAGCTAGTGAAAGCTCTGCGTTTGTGCCTTTTACACCGACTGCGTCCTGCTCCGTTTGAAACTTTAACTAAATCTTCTCTAAAGACCCGAAAACAAAACACAATCAGTGGAAAATGAGTTGACCTATTTCAGAACGATTTACACTGCATGTACCCTGACCTTTTACCGCTGAACTGAAAGCTACTCATGTGAAACCTCAGACCTGTGGCACACACACACACACACACACTCACACACACACACATAAATATATA